CCAAATCCTTTAACGACTGCTGCCAACTCAGGTTTCAGTAACTCCTCTTTCCAAATTGCTGTCAATCCACCAGGTAATCCAAAAAAACCCACCTGAAGTCACTAAACCATCCCTACCAACACCACCAGCAGTATTTTCAGGAGCAGCGACGATGGTCAAAGTATCAAGGAAGAAGAAAATTAGCACAACTTCTTTCAAGCAGGAAAACAGAGGGTGGGCAAGCAGGTCAGCAAAACATGTGGACCCTTTTGGGGTAAAACGTACCATGCTCAACAAAGAACACCCTTGCATCAAGGAATATGTTTCTTTTTAAGACACGCCAGGTAGTTATTGGGAATAGCTGCCAAATGGCAAGCCGGTGGCTAGACTATCTGCCTGGTACCTGGCATGGCTCTAAGACCAAGGACCTATTCCTTAAGAGTCCCTTGCAGCCAGCAAGATGTGTGCTGGTAGCTTGTACAGAAACAGACCTGCTCAGAACAAATCACTACTACTGCTTTCAGATGTGAAGCACATAAGCTACAATTGAGATAACACTCTTAATGAGAAAAGGAGTTGATAGCTCTGATGTTTTCTTCTAGCAGATCAACAAGAGGGAAGCCATTACATGAACTGCATGAGCACATTCATTTGAGCACACCCTGCTCTGGAGAACAAGATTCTCATGTAGCAGGGAGGAGTTCAGCAGCACAGCCACCCCACAGTGAGTCTATAGGTGGGCTGCGCTCTGGTGCAGAGACTTTCATTACCTGCTTCATGGGCTAGCACCCATTGACTGGTTGCTCTTTGAAAACGACTCTAGCCTTGCACAGGCCCACAATTTTTTAACTTCTCAAAGCATCCGACGCAGCTGGGATCACCAAAATAAAACCACTGCTTTCCTTTCTCCTCCCAGTATGTTATCCTAGTGAAATGCTATTTATCTGCCGTTCTGTTGATAAGATCTCAGCCCCTGCTCGTTTTCAGGCTGCAAGGAAGGAAAACCACAGTGAGGCTCCTTAAGCCAACAGAAACTCTACAAGATCAGAGGCAGATCATCACATGATGAAGCTCACTTTAAATAAAAGCTGCCTGCCCCAGAGATTTCAATGCCCTTTGCTCAGATTAATTGACAAATGATGGATGGCTTAGCGGTCCCCGTTTACGTCAAGGACTCCTGCTTCAGACTCCTCCATGCTGGGAGAAGGCAATAGTGTAAGAGGAGAATGATGGTATGCAGGGGAGCAGAAAGACTGTACAGTAGTAGTTTAGCCTTTGTGAAAGGTGCTACATCTACACTACACAAGCACGGGCATATTTTCCACGCAACACCTTTGTTAACAAAGTTAAGAAAATAGTGTTGTAGCTCCCAAGGACTGGCCAGTGATTCCAGCTCAGTGAGGGCCAGGAGTCTTCAGTGCTGGAGCCACTCTAACTTCTTACCCTTGAGACAATTTTCCTGTGATGGAAATGAGATGGGCAGAAGTGATACAGTGAGGGGACAGGAAAAATGGCAAAGAGGAAAGGGTATTTCTGCATTCCACTGTTCACAAAAACTCACCAACTGCCAGTGAGTCCTCTGCACAGAACAGCATCAGAGGGAACGGGTTCTTCCACGGCCTTTACAGACACAAATGAGCTAACAGATACACCTGTACTCTGCACAAAGAAAAATCACTGCTGCTGAAACCACACACTTGAAAACCCCTCTAATGAAGCAGGTGTATTTGCTCACTAGCTAGCTACCGTGACTGGTATATGAGGAGCAAAGGCTCCTCATGTCTGTTCCAAGCGTTCAGCAACTCAGACTGACACCCTGAGAGTGTCAGGGCCTGGGAGAGACTTCCAAACCTTTTAATATAATTAAAGATGTGAAGTGCAGAAGTGACGATCTCAGGGTTAAATTAAGCTCTAAGTGATTTCCTGTAACTTGCACTGGAGTTAGTGTAAGTTTCTTTGAAGAGCGTTCAACACGCTTTTCCCAGAAACCATCACACATTTTAATTACTCCTTTCACACATCCGAGCACTTTATATGCAAGTCAGCCTTCCAGGCAAGTATCTTTTTAATAACCTTTTAGTTAAGCCTAGTAGTTTTAATTTCACCAACCATTTACTCTTCCCATTAAACAGACCTTTGCTCAAAACACTTTCACCATTATGCTCTTACAGGTACAAACTCCACCAATGGCAAACACCAAGAAGCAGAATAACTAGAGGTTCCCAATTACTGCAACTGTCTAAGCAGAACAGTCACAGAACATAAAGGTGTGCGTAGTGGTGCAGCTTAATTGGATATTAAAACCCCCTACAGCAAAAGCATTGCACACCCAAGGGAGAAGCAGAATGCAGAAAGGGGGAGACTGTAGCTGACAACTTCAAAATGGGTTTAGAAGATGAGGGTAGAAACTTAATGCATGATAGCTTCTGGAATGACTTTGTCACCTTGCTATCTGCCCTTTCTCTAGGTCATTTCAAATTTTGTTGAACAGCACGGTCCCTGCAGAACAGCACTGATGACCTCTCTCTGCAGATCATTTACCCACAGTCTCCTTTCAGAAAGAATTTTTTCCATGCAAAGGTCCTTCCTCTTAGAGAGGCTAAGCAGCTCGCAGGTAAGACCGAGCCCTTGCTAAGGGGTGCCATCAAAAGCCCTTCAGAATCCTAAGATCTACCTGCAGAGAGAAATTTGGAGAAGTCTCACTCACAGCTGTAGTGCAGGATCCAGAGCCAACCTGGCAGAGAGATCTGTGTAACAAGAGCACATCATTTCAGAATCAACATAACACATCCCTAAGAAATGGGATGCAGATCAGTTCCCTAACACGGAGAGTCGAGGAATGGAATTAAAACAGCCCATTAGTGAGGTCGGGAGAATTAGTCTCCCATTCACAATCAAGCTGAAGTGTTGCTGAGGACAGTGGTTCAGCTTGCCCTGAGCCAAGGACCTCACATCAATCACTGCAACGCCCACAACTCTACAAAACCTGCTCAGCTGTTGCAGGGTGGAAGGTGCTGAGCAGCCATCACCCACAAACGGCATCACATTTAGCCCAAGTTCTGAGACATGGAGCTTGGACTTTGTAACCTCACAGAAATCCAGGGGAATGCAACAGTCATTTTCTACTCTATGAAATATGCAAACAAACAGCACAATCTGTGCTTTACATAAAACAGCCTGGTAGTAAATGTAAAGGTACGTTACCCTGAAGCTTTACTCTCACTCCGCTGCACAACTTCTTCCTGAAAAGGCAGAATGCGTTAGAAAGAAATTAGTGAAATTACAGGAGCTGGCAGAGGAAAGGAAGCAAAGCTTTCTGACACGGAAAGGAAATTAGGGCTGCAACTTAAGGACAAAATGAATGCTTCCGCCACAGCGGTTAACAGTAAATTAAGTGTCATTATTAAGTTTCAAAGTTAAAAATCCCCCTGCCGTAAGTGAGGCAACACATACTTACTTGGAAGTTACAGCCTCCGGGCATCAGGCAGCACCTCCCTGAATCTGTGGGGCTGGTTTCTAGGAAAATTTTTCTTCACTGTAACATTTGAATCGAAATCAAAGCAAAGAGTCCCACAGACACTTTGGGTAGTACTCACACATGCCACTGAACACAAAACACAGTTTTCTTATGAGAAACTTCCTTATCACAGAATTTGAGGGACTGGAAGGGATCTTCGGAGATCATCTAGTCCAACCCCCCCCCCGCCAAAGCAGGGTCACCCAGAGCAGGCTGGACAGGAACGTGTCCAGGCAGGTTTTGCATACCTCCAGAGAAGGTCGCGCCACAACCACTCTGGTCAGCCTGTTCCAGTGCTCTGTCACCCTCAAAGTAAAGAAGTTTTTCCTCATGTTGAGATGGAATTTCCTGCGTTCCAGTTCGTGCCTGTTGCCTCTTGTCCTGTCACCACTGAGAAGAGCCTGGCCCCATCCTCATGACACCCACCCTTTAAATATTTATAAGCATTGATAAGATCCCCTCTCAATCTTCTCTAGGCTGAACAGACCCAGGTCTTTCAGTTTTTCCTCCTAAGAGAGGTGCTCTATTCCCTTGATCATCTTTGTAGCCCTCTGCTGGGCTCTTTGCAGTAGTTTTGCATGGAAATATTTAAATGAAGACAGCTCCTATGCAACGAATAGCAAAGGCGGCTTAAATCTGGCCTTTCTCCTGCTCTTTGCATTTTGTGTTCTCAAACATTTGCTACTTTAATACTCATCTGTTCAGCTTTAGAGTGCACGGTTTCATCAGAGACACAAATATAGTCAAACCCCCCACTCCAAGAACATACACCGTCATAGTGAAAATAAAACTCTCTTTCCATCATTAACAGACGTTCAACTAATCACACTGAATGGATTGACACTCCCTTAGATAGAAACATTTATGAAATACAGATGGTAACTGCTGAGTTTATTAAGGAACTGTTTTGTGGTTGGCGGTTTGTGTTGCTTTTTTTTTAAATAACCGACATGATACTTCCCCTCCAAATAAAAAAAGTACTAGAAAGAAAAACTCGGCAGAATGCAAGAAGAGAAGGGATAGAGGGACAACTCGGGACTGTTCTGACTTAGCAAAGACCTGCAACAACAGATCTCCAAACCCAGTGCCAAAGAGCCATCACACTCCAGAGGGCAGGGCCAATTTATCCAGTGACCCAGACTGCAGGGAGAAGTCTCACAGCCCCACAAATCCTTGCAAAAAGCCCAAGCTGACACATCACCAGCTCAGTGAATTGGACAATGCCAGCACATGTGAGGGGTTTCAGTCTTCACAAGTCTCACATTTCATTACTCAGTGGTAATTAGGTTATACAAAGGCAGTTTAAAGCCAGTGAGTGCCACCTCTACCAGTACAGGTTCCAGAGATTGCCATGATGTAGTGGTCCCTATCACCCACTGCTGGGCAAATGGGTCTGGACTGGCCAAAGCGCATGGAGTTGAGTGTTTTCTCCAGCCCAACTGATTGGGCCTCGTTCAGGGAAGAAGCAACCCAGGAGACCACAATCACCAGCGGATCTTAAGAATCAAGATTTGTCCAGTTTGTGTGTGCGCTCGTGCCTCCGTAGGGTACCCGACTCGGTGAAGGAATGACCACAGTAATTGCAAGAGTAGGGCTTCTCTCCAGTATGGATGCGGTGATGGCGCTGGAGCGAGGCCAGCCGGGTGAACGTCCCCCCACACTCCTGGCAGTAGAAGGGGCGCTCCCCAGAGTGAGTCTGCTGGTGTCTCCTCAGCCTGAGCAGCTGGACGAACGCCATGCCACACTCCTGACACTTATAGGGCTTGTCTTGCCGGTGGATCACCTTGTGTTTGGAAAGCAGGTTGGGCTTGTCGAAACCTTTGCCGCACGTCGGACAGGCGAAAGGTTTACAGTCGTCTTCCTCAGACTTTTGGTTTTCTGCACAAGGCTGATCAGTATACTCAACAGCGTGCTGGTTACGGTGCGCTATCGACCACGGGTTCCTAGCCATGCCATTTCCCAAGATCACCATGGAGCGCTCTATCTTGTGCACGTTGCGTAGGTGCCTCCAGACATCAGCCGTGCGAATGAAACCCTTGTCACACTCTGGACATTTGTGTGGCCTGTCACTAGAATGGATGAGTTTGTGCATCCGCAAATTTGCCGCGCGGAAGAACTCTTTGGCGCAGACGGGACATCGGTATGAGTTTTCCACAAGGTGAGTTCGCTTGTGTTCCTGCAGCTCACTCATACCCTGGAAATTGGAACCACACTTCTTGCACCGATACGGCAAAGCTTCCTCAGAGACAGGCTCCGGGTCCTCATCAAACACATCAGCAAGAACAGTATTTTCATTATCGTCATGTAGTCTTCTCCGTGGCTTCTTGGACCTCTCAGAGGAACAGTGCTCTAAATCTTTACCTTCACACTGCAGGTCAAAGTTGGTACTGGAGGGAACAAACACCCCAGCTGTACTCTCACCTCGCTTCTGGTAGTAGGTCTCATAGGTTTCTTTGTCTTCACACTGCAACTCTGCAGGAAGCTCCTGCTTGCTTGAAGGACCAGCAGAGTTGCAACGAGGACTGCACGTCTGTGAGTAATTCATGTCTACCTCCTGCTGGAGGCTAGATGTGTGGCCCCCCTCAGTGGTCTTTCAGGAATAATTTGAAGGCTTCTCAGCTGTGTCACAAATGTTATTCTCACAGTCCACACTCACATTCATCCTCTGAGGCGTACGCTGTGTTCATCTGCAGCTCACTGATGATGTGTGTACCAAGAACTTCAGGTCTTTCATGGTGAGTCCCTCTCATTCTCAGCTCTCTTTACAGTTCTTTTCTGATATTAACATAAGATCACAGGGAAGATTTTTTCCTGATTAAAAGAATAGGACAGATTATTAGTTAGGCAGCAGGAGAAACACAATCATCTATTATCATATACGTAGAAAATAGACAGTCTGCATCCGCAAATTTGCCGCGCGGAAGAACTCTTTGGCGCAGACGGGACATCGGTATGAGTTTTCCACAAGGTGAGTTCGCTTGTGTTCCTGCAGCTCACTCATACCCTGGAAAGAGGAACCACACTTCTTGCACCGATACGGCAAAGCTTCCTCAGAGACAGGCTCCGGATCCTCATCAAACACATCAGCAAGAACCGTATTTTCATTATCGTCACGTAGTCTTCTCCATGGCTTCTTGGACCGCTCAGAGGAACAGTGCTCTAAATCTTTACCTTCACACTGCAGGTCAAAGTTGGTACTGGAGGGAACAAACACCCCAGCTGTACTCTCACCTCGCTTCTGGTAGTAGGTCTCATAGGCTTCTTTGTCTTCACACTGCAACTCTGCAGGAAGCTCCTGCTTGCTTGAAGGTCCAGCAGAGTTGCAACGAGGACTGCATGTCTGTGAGTAATTCATGTCTACCTCCTGCTGGAGGCTAGACGTGTGGCCCCCCTCAGTGGTCTTTCAGGAGTAATTTGAAGGCTTCTCAGCTGTGTCACAAACGCTATTCTCAGAGTCCCAGTCCACACTCACATTCACCCTCTGAGGCGTACGCTGTGCTCATCTGCAGCTCATTGATGATGTATTTAAATCCGCCTAAAGATGAGAAATCTTCAGAACTCTGGGGTGTAAACACTTTAGGCAAAGTCCTACACTATAGTTGCCCCCACTACGGGTCTTTTTCCGAGGACTCATGCATAATCCAAGCTAGGAGCATCAGTCACAAGGTGTTTTCTTTCAGAAACTAGTTAGATAACACAATGAGACCTAGAAACTGTGTCGGTCAAACAGCCAAATCCAGAAGCAACCTACAGACAGTGGGTCTGGGGTGCTCAGGAGCTGCTTTGGCCCCCCATCTTGACCAGCATTATTGTAACTGTCTTGAGGATATTTGGGGTCCCTGTGCCACTACCAGCTAGCACCATGCAAAGAGGACACGTGAAGGAAAGACAAGAAACAGCTGTCCAAAAAGTTTACTAACCATCCTCCCAGGCTTCAAAGCACAGCTAGTCATCCTCCAGAGCTGGCCCACTGGAACAGCTTCGAATTTTCTGGGTAACCTCCCTTTGCAGACCAACCCCACTATCAGAAAATATGAGCAATCATAATGGGTCAGAAATACCCGCCTGAGTCACAAACTTTTTGTGAAGAAGCAGCTTTGATTTACTCCGTATCAAAGCGTGGATTCCCAAAAGGTTTTCCACATTTGTCCCAGACAGCAGCTCCGTAGGAAGCTTTCACACACCTGGTTTAAACCTGCATTCACACTGAATTGCTACTCTAAGCTCAGAAATCACATTTTTTCCCATCCTGATGGATACTTGGCTGCTCCTCCGACCCCCACCTTCTCCTTCACACCTACTTTCATACTCCCTCTATTCCTGCTGTTTCTTCACTTCCTTCTAACTGCTTTTGTCTGGGTAAGACTTCTCTGAATATAAGCATGTAGTTATTAAAATGTACTTATTTCTGTAGTTCCACGAATACATAAAGCTTGTCTATTTAGCTTTAGTAGGTTTGCAGAGTTACAAAGGCACCAGTGCAACGTGCCTTAAGTGAAAGATCTTATTCACATCTCGGAGAGCCCAGCTCCGTTTCAGACACAAGCTGCGCTTTCTTCTGCTGTGATAACACCAAAACAAGCCTCAATCAGTCTTCTTCGTTAGTCGCCGCCTGGAACAGGCTGGCTCAAGTCACCCCCACACACACAACTTGGGCCATTCCCACCAATTTAATAAGGAGCACATGAAAACCCCCAACTCTTCCTCACCTCTTTCCAGGGGCTGCGCCCCCCCGGCAGCGCTCCGTCAGGAACTAATCGCAGCCCGGCGCGGCGAGGCCCGCAGCGGCCGGTGGCTGCCAGCAGCGGGGCGGGACACGGGCAGCCCCTTCCCCTGCGCCGGCCCTCGCTCCGGCACCGCCGACC